AGCTTGACTTCACCTTTTATGCTCTCAGCCATGCTTGCTTCTGCAGAGACTCAAGGATGGGATATTTATAGAACAACAGCAGGAGTCCCCCTGCATACAGGAGCAAAATGAAGCATGAAAGAAAAACATTAGGATTTCTTCAGAATGAAACAAATATATCAAAGGTGCAAATGGTCTTCTTGGGAAAAATAAAAACATGGCACAAATGGTGTTGGTGCCAAGAGCAGTGTAATTAAGGCTGGAGGAGATAACCTAGTGGGCGGTGCTAATTGTTCTGACAGATCACTCTGATGGAGCAGATGCTCCTTGACCATGAGTGTAAAACATGCCTCAGCCCCACCAAAGGCAGCATCTGTTCAGCAGCTCTGAAAATGCTGTGCTGAAACATGGGGTTGTGCATACCTACGACAGTGCCCCTGCACTTGGGGAAACACTAGATTCAGTAGAGCTGGGGAAGGTTCTAATTCACAACACTGATTTCTTCCGCAGTTGGAAATCCAATTAAGCTGTTGGCTTCCATGAGTTAATTCTGCATTATGTAATTATGAGCTAATAGAAAGCAATTTTCTCTGAAATGTTTTTTGTTCCTTGTTGTCCTGCCCCTTCTGGAAGACAGTCACATTTCTGCAGGTTGTGAAGTTCTAAAATCTTTTCCACTGGTGGCTTGAGTAGAGGCAGAATTCATCCCACTTTTTTTTTGCCCACAGTGTTCATTTTCAAATCCAGCCCTGTGTCTGCATAGTCCAAGAGTTTCTTTTCCATACACAAGCTCCCAGGAGCAAGAGGCTGGGTCCTGCCTATTCCTGCTCTGAGATGCAGATGTCTGTGCAGTTCCTCCTGGGCCAGGAATAAAGCAGTGCACCTCCACAGCATCCATGAACAAGAGTGGCTTGAATGGAGAATCTCCTGGTATCCCAGTCCCAACCTCATGGTGCAATGAATATTCTGAATATTGTTCAGTTTTGAACTTGCAGACGGATTTGGCTGCTTGGCAGTATTTCAGCTCAGCTATAGTCACAGCTTTTTTTGCAAGGAATTCTGTCAAGAGGTATTTTAATATCTGGATGAGTTACACTTGTGGAAAGTTACACAATACTTTTATGTTTTCTGCTGAAGTTTCCTTTTTTGGGAAATTTTGGAAAGTACCTCCTGGCATATTCTCCAGCCAAAATATTTAGCTCAAAGGCATTTTACTTGTTTCTGGTAAGCTGGGCATATTGATGGGGTACAGATCATCAGCGTTCTGTGAAGGGCTGACTCAGAGGTAATAGCATTAGTTGAACTTTTGAAAAGTGCAATGACAAGTTTAATATTTTAACCCACTGTTCTGATGACAACAACCTTCCAAATTAACATGGAGCTCTGCAAAATCATTTCTGTTGCTGTTGTCTCCTTTTGGGAGGTCCAACACATCTGTTGACTTTGCTTAGAATGGAAGAGTCCTATGGTTAGGCACACGCATGAGTGAGTGCTACGATAAGAGCTCTAACAGCATTATTAGAAAGTTCAGTGGGTGACATAATCCAAGAACTGGGGTAGAGCAATCCTCCTTGTCAGCAGCATCTTGCAGCATTCAGTGGAGTTCCTTCATTTTAATAAACAAATATCTACCTTCAGTTTCCTTTCTGTTACTGCCAACATACTGATGTCAGATAAAACAGCAACACATGTGGGTGGCAGTGATCTGACACCTAGCCTAAAAAGCCAGGACCACTTAGGTGTGCTCTTATTACCAAATGAAGTACACTCCCTGTTGTATCTTTTGAAAAACCTGATGCATCAATAATTATGTCAATGATCTGGTGCCCAGCAGATGATAGGTTGCATGAGTATTTATTGTATACTCTGTGACTATGTGAGTATGTGTGTGGAGAAAATATTTACATTCTCAGTGTGCATGCATTCTCTCTGCCGTCCTCCTTCTCACAGCCAGAGATGACACTGATGTCACTGAGTGGATTTGCAGCAAGCCCTGTGTTGCATCTGGAGGGAGCATATTTCTTTTGCCCAGGGCTTGCAGATCTGAGAGCTGCTCAGCTTCCAGTCCATGCAGTATTTGGTCTGCCTGAGTGGCACAGCTCAGGCTCTGCTTCACTCACAAAATATCTGGCAGCAGAAACTCCTGGGAACATCTCAAGCAAATGCAGCACTATTGAGCAGCTGTGTGGCCAGCATGGTTAGGCACTGACTGTACTGACCTTTATAAGTGGAGACGTTTTCCTGATCATAGGATTCAGGCTTTCTTCTGTGAAGCCTCCACCATTGGGCTGAAGGTGCAGAAGCTCCAGCAGCAGCAAGTGACAAATCCTCCCAAGCACCAGAGAACTGTGACACCCTTTCTGCAATCTATCCTTGTGCAGAAGCAGCAGAAGAAAATTATTGCCCTGAATCATTTTTTCTTTGCAACAGCTGTCAGCAGCTCATATTAATGGATGTGTTATCAGAGTGGAACAGCACTTTACTGAATATTTCAAACCACAAACTTGAGGCTCAGTGATTGTGTTCCCTACAGGAACATAATGTTGCCACCTCTGCCTGCACCCAGCACAACCTGATGGTGCTTTCTCTAGTTTGCTGATGGTAGAGCACAAGTGGTGCTGCAGGAGGTAGCAGTGGAACAGGAGTCACCTTGTGTCCCCATGCATCCCCATCCCACTACCATCAGCTGCTCCCATATAGACCCCTTCCAACATACAACTCCTTCCTCTCTGCCTTTGTACTAGACCACCGAATGGAATAATCCAATCTTTAAAAAACCTCCTCCCATTTGGTTTGATTTTGTTGGCAGCGGGGAGAAGGCGGGGGGAATGGCCTTGGCTGGTGTTTGCAACCACTGGGCTAGCATTCAGCAGATTGGGTGAACAAGAGAGGAAGGGCTGGGACAGGAGGAGGGAAAAGAGCTGGGAAGAAGGAGGAATTGTGTGGATTGATAGGGCTGACCCGGGCCCAGGCAGACTGGGAGAAGGCGTGAAGGTCAGGCAGAGCTGCAGGGCTCTGACTTCTTCCCTTCCTGAGCCTCCAGCAGCTGTGCCTGGAGCCAGCCCCTGGTTGGCTCCTCCAGCAGTGTCATTGCTAGTTAAATACAATCACAAGGTTAGGTTATTGATTGTGACAACACCTCACCTTTGTCTGCTTCAGACAAATTAAAAAAAAAGCCCAATAAATCTTCCTAGGTTTCCTTTCATGAGGCATCCTTTTAAGAGCTGGATGAAAGCTGTTGAGAGCACAGCAGATCCAGCCAGCACTTAGCTATGTGGTCCTGCTGCAATACTGTGGGCTCCCAGCAACTAACAGGGCTCAGGACTTAATTTATTTCAGTGAAGGTGGTGATTCTGGAAAACAAGGAGTGCATGTTTCCTTGTTCCCAAAGTTCATATAGCTCCTGCAGCTTCTTCAAGGAAATCTCTGCTTGCCTTCTCAGGCTCCTGTCTCTGGGAGATCACCTGTCTTCAAGATTCTTCTGGGCCTTGTCACATTAAGAAAATTAATGCCTCATCTTTTAAAGAGAGATTTCCATGTATTTTTTTTTCTGCTAATCCAACTAATTTTTATTTTATCTTCTTTTTTTCATCTACTCCCTCCTCTGTGAATTCATGCATCTAACATGAAGGTACTTCTCTCTTATTTGTCTCACGTGGGAACTGTTTTCTTTCTTTGCCTTTTGTACATGTTATTGGAAGGGAGGTGAATCCTTCCCAGTAGGACACAGCCTCACCCACAGAAATCCCCAGTTCCAGCACCTGTCCCTATGCTGCCTGCACAGCCTACAGCCAGGCAATCATGGTCAGGCCTGAAAGTCAGAAGTTGAGATAAGCAGCCCTTATTTCCTGCCAGAAAGAAGCTCATGACCAGGATGTGGAGACAAACGTGGACACAGCTCCTACCACTCAGCACAGTCTGCTCTGTGCTGTGGGCTGGGTTGGGCCCTGGCAGCTACTTCTCCTGGCTCCCCAGATGGGAATGGAACACTTCTTTCTCCTTTTCTTATTTCCAGGCATCTCTGTGTCTCTTTACAATTCCTCCTACAAACAGTGGAGGAGCTGCTACAAATATGTGCAAAAGTACTTAATTACTTTTGAACAAACCACTCTGCCAACTGCTGCTAACGCTGATTGCTGTGCTGACCATGCTGTCTTTGCCTGCTCTTCCCTTTCCCCCATCTGTGACCAGCCCCTGCCCAGGCTGCAGACTCTGGAGTTGCTGTGTCCCATGGCACTGTCCGCACAGCACCTGGCACTTGTCCACTCCTGCAGGATAGTGGGCTGGGTGCTCAGCCCTCACTCTCCTGCTGCTGGGTGCCCTGGCTCTATTACTGGGTATCACATGGCCATTGCTGGGTGTTCCAGGGGTATAGGTGTGCATCCAAAGCCAGTGCTGCATTCTGATACCATCAGCGGCATCCCAGGACCATGCCCAGTTGTTCGAAGGCAACCTCAGATTTTCTGGAGCCATTACTGTGCATCCCAGAACAATGCCTGCATATTCTGAGGCCATCCCCATATCCCTGGACCATGTCTAGGCATCCTCAGTTATCCCATCATCAAGCTATCATCAGTTGTCCCATGGTCATCACTGGTGTTTGGGTGCCATCACTGGTGTTCTGTGTCCCAGAACCCCACTAGGGTGCCCCAAGACCCTGTCTGCCTCAAGGCCAGCTCTGGCATCGAGGCCACCGCTGACCGTCCGAGCATCGTGGTGTCGTGGGGCTCCTACCGACTGTCCTAGGGCCACCTCTGTTTCCTCGGGGAAGCTATTGGTGGGAACCGAGCGAGGGGCGGGCTGCGCACGTCGTCCCTTGCCGAGGAACCCTCCCAGCAGCGTACTCTGCAGAGGGGGCCGGAGTTTGCAGCCGGTCCTCGCTCCGCCCCGCCCCGCCCCGCGCCGCTGTGGCTCCTTCATGCGGCGGCGCTGGGCGCGGGCGGTGGCTTAGAGCGGCTGCGGTGCAGCCCTTCCCGCCGGGCCTCGGCGCATGTGAGCGGTAGGGCGGCGGCACATCGGCCATGCGGTGGCCCCGCGGCCCCCGCGGTGCCTGGCGGCTACTGCCTCGGCGCTCGCTGCTGGCCGTGCTCTTCCTTTTCTCGCTGTCCTCTTCCTTCCTCTATTTCGTCTATGTGGCGCCGGGCATCGGTAAGTGGTGGAGCCAAGGAGCTTCTCCGTTCGAAATGCTGAGTAATGCGGAACGGCTGCTGCAGCATTCCTCGAGGGCCAGAGCGGGGTGCGGTGCTCTTGGTACCCCACTCTGCGCTGCCCCGGCCCCGGGCTACGCGCCCCCGCTTGCCGCTGGCGTTGGAAAAAGCCCGGATCGGGGGAGGGGTTCCCCCCGGATCGCGTTGGATGTGTGCGTGGGAGCGGGCTCGTTCCTCCGCCGTGGGCACGCGCGGTCGTTCCCGTGACTCACGGAAGGTGCGGGCCGGGGCTGGTTGTCCTGGGCTGGCGGACGGAGCCCGATCCGAACGCGCTGATCTCGTTGGAGCTGGGAAGATAGCCCCAAGCCCACCGGTTGCCTCATACTTGGGAAGAGGCAATGTGTTAGACGTCTGAGTGTTCGCGATCAAAACACTCCCTACTTTATTTTTTTTTTTGTAAAACAGAAAGATGAGAGTTATGTATTTTAGAAAGATGGGTACTCGTCGCTGTTTTTCTGTATACTATACTTAAAGGGTGGATGGAACGGCAGCCTGCTGAGATGGCCAGCACCGCGCGCCGCTGCCTGCAGGACTGTGCCCGTTCGTGGGGGGCGGGGATACTGATGCCTGGGAAAGCAACTGTTGTGTTTGCACTGTGTATCGCGTTTCTGCGAGAAGCCAAGGCTCACGGTCAGCGTGGCCTTCAAGTCAGCGCTTAGTGACGATTCTTTTGAAAGGGTATTTATTTTAAAAGAAATAAAAATCCTGCAAATGGAATTTTCTCCTTGAAATGTCATTGATATTGCTCGTGCCGTCCTGAGTTCGGACATTACTGGGAGACTCATGCATGTTTCTCAATGTGGCTTAAAGTGATCGTTATTTAGAGAGCATGTCCCACTGGTGCCCCTGGGTTCTGGGAGCCTTTTGCAGGGCAGAGTGGGGTGCTGTTAGTATGTGAAGTATGTGAGCAGGGATGCTCATTCTCAGGGTGACCTGACTGGGACTACTGTCCCAGGCCTGAGGCTTGGTGGCCCAGGGCTTTGCTGTCCTTATGCGCTGGCAGCTGTCATTTGGATTGGCTTTAGAGTGGTCAAATGGCTTTCATGCATCTGATTGAGGATGTTATTGTACAGGTGATGTCATGTGCCCCCCACCCCCCAAGTGCTGCTTGGTGTTTCTGTGGCTGTGCTGCCACAGATGCATCCCAGGGTCCTGTGCAGGGCACACAGATATCTGTCCTGAGAGCTGTGGTGTTACATTGTCTCATCCACTTTGTACTGTTCTGGTTGAGCAGCGTTCCTGGAGATGCCATAGGATATAAAATTTGGTGTAAAACCAGCTGTCTTCTCAGAACTTTTCCCTGCTTGGACCACAGCTAGCACATTCACATTCCACCCTGTACTTTCACCATCTGAGATGCTAAGAGATGAAGTAGAGACTTGAAGGTGGTCCATGTGGATGTTAGTGCTGTTCTGTCACCTGACAGGGAGATAGATGAGTCAGAAGGTCTGGCTCTTGTTTGTTCTTCTCCCTGCATCCCCCTCCAACTTTCAGCCAAAAACAATCAGTTTGTGGTAGCCCAGACCAGTGTTCCTGGGGCAGCTGTGCTCGTCATCCTGCTGCTTTTGCAGGCAGTTTGATTTTTAGGCCAGTATGGTAAAGAGAACTTGAAAGAAAAGCTATTTGTCCTCATAAGATGTGAACAGTGCTGCAGACCTCAATAAATTGAGCAAATGGTATGTGATGGGGGAAGTACCAGACGTGGTATAAGGCCTTAGCCCTGGGATGGCTGTCTGCAGAGAGCCCAGTGCAGGCTGAGATGTGATTAATCCCACTTCTTGGTCATTCCTTAGTTTAAAAAAATAGCCCAAATAAATGAGACCTGAAGCTGAGGAAGCTGTGTACGATTTTGAATCAGTCTTAAGGGTCTTTAATTTGTTTTAAGCTGATGAAAAAAGTGCTCCTACAGCAACCATTGGCTTGTGGAAGAGCAGGAAGAGCTGAGGGCAGTCTGTCCTAGGGCCAGGTGGGAACTAGTGGCTGTGATGGATGTGCAGAGTCTCTCTATGTGAGGACACAGTCACCTTGGTAGAGAGCAGAGGTGTCCATAACATCTGGTGCAGGCTCTGGATGGGGATGAGTTGGGACGAAAATGCTGTGGAGTTGCTGAGGTTTGTGTTGGAGTACTTGTGTCCCAGTGCCAGGAGAAAACTGGGATAGTTGCACTTCTAGGTGCTGTCTCAGCATATTGGTGAGGAGCTTGATGGAGGGAGATGCTTGATGGCTGGAGAAGCAGTAAAAAGGCTCTTGGTGCTCTGTAGGTAAAGCCTGGCTCAGATGCCAACAGGTGCCACTTCCCCATCGACATTACATGTTGCTGTCCTGTGCCCCAGGCTGAGCGGCAGTGGCCTACCCTTGACTGCTTGAGTCTTTGCTGTGCATGATGGAAACATGAGGAAGAATTTTGTTTGGAATCATTGAGGGCATGAGTGGGAGAGCTCAGCACCTGTGGGCAGGAGCTACACTTGGCACCTACTGGGAGCCTAGAGCTTTTGGGACTACTGTTTGTGTGTCTCTGGCTAATTTTGTGCCTGGGGTGTTTCCTCACTTACGTCCCTAAGCAAGGCTTCACCTATGAAGTTGAATTTTTTTGTCACCACAGATTTTTACAGAGCAATCCAATGTCAGCATTCAGCATCTCTTCACAAATAACACAAAACAGAACAAAAAATAGAACACGAATAAAATGCTTGACTGTTTCCTTCTTCAAGCTGCACTGCAAGAACTCATGTCCTTGGTTCTGGGCCTACAATGTCCTCTTAGGAAGCCATTGGGCACTGAGTGGCTTGCACAGAGGCAGCCAGGTCCCCTTTTGCCCCACACTGTTCCTTGGTGCTCACAAGCTTTAGTTTCTGGTGCAAACGGGATTATTATGCAGGTCTGTCTCATTGTGGCTGTTGCGAGCTCTGTGAGGCACCAGTTGTTCTGCTCTTGGCTGAGCTCAGGGCCAGGTAGGGCTGTTCCAGATGCAGTGGCCGCGGGGCTGCTACTGTGCCTCTGTCCCGTGAGGACGGGGGGCTGCTCCTCATGCTGCAGCCTGTCTGATGTGGAGGGCTGTAAGCTGCATGGGGCTGGGAGCAGGCTTTGATTTAGTTATGAGCAGTTGCACTGAAATAATCTTTGGAATAAGTAAGGCCTCCCTGAGATCTGACAGGGATCAGCCTGCTCGATAACTCTGCCTGCAGCCTAGAGACTGGGCTGGAAGGATGCAGGTGCAAGTGGTGGCTGCCACACAGGCGTTGCCTCTAAAAGCTGCTTCTCCTTAATCGAACTTGGGAGGCTTGTGCTCCTGGAATTCATTCAGAGGGCTGCTGGTGCTTCAAAGAGCTGTGGTAAGATTCTCTGGCTGTCATGGCTTTTCACATTACAGTTGACCCATATGAATCTACTAAAAGTGTCTTTCCTTGTTGGCTTTGTGCTTGTATAACAGGAACCAGGAAAGCAAGGGAATTCTATATTACTACTTCCAGGTGCAAGACTTCCAAGATGCTTGTACTTCTCTTTCATCTTGATAACTCTCACATCACCAGTAGGAACTTCTTAAACCATGCCCTTAATACCCTTTGCAGGTAATCACCAGATACCTGGAAAGAGAAAGGTCTGAGGCCTAGTACACGGGTGGCTGCTTCTAATTTTTCCTTCTTCAGAAGTTGGGGCCTCTATTTTAATTTATTAAAATCTTTTTGAAATTGGGTCTGTGCAAGTATTTTTCTTTCCCGAATCTGTTTTAGGAAAGTAGTGCAGAGAATTTAAGTTGAGTGAAAGTTTGTTACCTTTGTAGGTAAGCTGTAATTGAGTTGGGCTTTACTTCCTCCAAGCTTATTGGGAATTGCTCCAGACCTTTGTACAGGGCACGAGTCAATAGCATGGGGCCTGGATTAAATATGTGATGCGAGAGTAGTTCACATTTCAGTGGTTTGTTTCTGTGAGTGTATGGCAACGGAAAAGACCTGGTCAGCCCTGGGGGCAGAGGTGAAGGCAATTCAGCTGTGTGAGCAGAAGGGGTGGAGCCTGGCTGCACCTCTCTTAGACCTCGTTTAAGAGCTCACTGCCACTGGGGAAAGATTTCTTTCTGGAGTTTGCTTGTTGGTGAGGCTTTCCCCTATCAACCTAGAATCTTTTGATACAGGTGAGCAATCTTCTTCCCTTCCTTTATAGCACCTTTTTATCATGCTGTCCTTCTGTCATCACATCTCTGTTGTAACGCCTTTCTCATTGTATTGGTGTGTCCAATTGCTATAGTGAGCATGACTCGTGAAAGTCACAAAGCCTTCTAGGTTAATTCCTGTGAATTAATTGTGTCAGAACTTCAGTGATATGCAGTGGATGAACACTTAAAACAAAAGTGTTGCCAGCCTGGATTTCCAGGAAATCTGACCACTGTGGGCTTGGGAAGCCATCTAGTTTCAACAGGCTCCAAGTCGCTTCAAGTAGCTTCAGGATGGAGAGGAGACCTCTGGTCCTGCTGTGCTGTACCTTGAGCTGCTGGCTCAGGTGTGCTCTTTAATTGCATGAATTCTGCCAGCATCCCCTAGGACGTGTTCCCCTGGGGAATGGAGTTGAGGCTATGCGGAGCTATTTGTCCCTTGCTTGTCAAAGCTGTCCGTTTTGGTGCATTTTAATATCCACACAGTGTATGGGGTCTTTGCATGCACTGAACTCATGGGGGTCTCAAGGTGGACCCCATGGCATCAGCTCTGCAGAACCCCGCTGTAGTAGCACTGAGACTGCAAACCCAGGAGAAAAACTCCACAGGGCAAAATAAACCTTTTCCTCACCAGCTTTGTTTTTAAAGTAGTAGTATTGCAATAGGATGTGTTTACTTTGACAAAAACTGTGCTAGTTTGTTTTTGTGAGGTTTATTTTCATTTTAGCTTTTCTTTGCGTTCAGGTTGTTCTGGCTGTATTTTTGTCTGGCAGCACTGTGAGCATCAGTATATT